TTAGTTTTGCCTCTTCTTGAACTTCACATGCAACTCTATGTAACATGGATTTAAAGTTTTAAGTTCTGGGGTAGAGCCTGTGGCTCAAAGGAGTAGGGTGCAGCTCCATATGCTGGAGGTGGTGAGTTCAAACCCAGCCCTGGCAAAAACTGCAAAAAGAAAAAGATTGGCTTGGTGCCTGTGGCTCAAGCGGCTAAGGCTCCAGCCACATACACCTAAGGTGGTGGTTTCGAAACCAGCCCGGGCTTGCCAAACAACAATGACGGCTGCAACCAAAAAATAGCCAGGCTCCATGGCAGGAGCCTGTAATCCCAGCTACTTGGGAGGAGAAGGCAGGAGAGTCGCTTGAGCCCAGGAGTTGGAGATTGCTGTGAGCTACGATGCCACAGCACTCTACCCAGGGCAACAGCTTGAGGCTCTGTCTCAAAAAAAGAAAAAGCTTCCAGTAGCCTTCAGGAGTTGGAGATTGCTGTGAGCTACGATGCCACAGCACTCTACCCAGGGCAACAGCTTGAGGCTCTGTCTCAAAAAAAAAAAAGCTTCCAGTAGCCTTCAGGAATCATTAACTGATTTTAATGGACATGATGTTTTTATCACCTTAAACATCAACCTCTTACTCTTTTTTTTTTTGCAGTTTTTGGCCAGGGCTGGGTTTGAACCCACCACCTCTGGCATATGAGGCTGGTGCTCTACTCCTTAAACATCAACCTCTTACTCTTTTTTTTTTTGCAGTTTTTGGCCAGGGCTGGGTTTGAACCCACCACCTCTGGCATATGGGGCTGGTGCTCTACTCCTTTGAGCCACAGGCACCACCCTCCATTAACTGATTTTACAATGATAGACATGTAGGATAGTGAAAAGAACCCAAGCCTTCTGCATTTCTTTTAACATAAGACAGACATGTCTTATAGGATTTCGTTTTTAAACTTGTTTGAGCCATGTTATTTTGGGCTCTGTGTTATATGAAGCAAGTCCCAATTAAGATATTTATTTGCCTTCACTTTGTTAAAATCCAGATGAATTTGGGTTAAAAAAAAAAATTCAGAATGGAAAGGTATGTGGAGGAAGCATTGAGTATTTTCTATTGTCATGCTCTGAGCCTGATACTGGGAATACAAACCTGAATTAGGATCTACATGCCAATGATTTTATCTTGCATATGTGAAGGAGGAGTAGCTCAGAGGCATATCACCACACACGTTGATATTTGAGTTGTTGGGCTTCAGGGTTATTATTTATCTATCCTCTGATAATATAAATGTCAGATAAGATAATCTTCCTTCTTAAGGACTAAACAAAATAAAAA